CTACACCTACATCATCTTTCTTCTCTATTTTAAGGAAGGTGAGAAAAGCTTGGAGGTTTGGGATGTGCTAGGTATATCTGAGCTTTCCATTCACACGAAGATCTCTAATTTCACTCCTGTCACCAGCGGTAATAAGAAGAGAGCAAATGGAACTAAATGCTCAAGGTCAGAAAACTCAGAACATCTTGAGCTTAAACCCAGGACTTAAAGGCCAAGCAGGTTCCTCCCAAATTCAGCTGTGTCTGTGACTGGTGGGGTGAACAGTCTCTCAGCTATTTCTGTGACTGATGGGGTGAATGGTCTTACAGCTGTGTCTGACTGGTGGGGGTAAACGGTCTCTCAGTAGCTGTCTATTTGAATCCACTAAGCACCTACGGGAGGGCCCGTAGGGACTCAGGATGCCATCAACAGTGCAGGAACCAAAAAGGCCAGGTGAGGGCTCACCATCCACTCTGGCCTGGCCCTCTCAGATGGGCTTTTCTGGAAGGCATGCCGCAGTCCGTATGGCTAAGGTTTTCTTTATTCAGATAACACCAACCAAGCATAAGCCAAAGCGGGCCAGGGGCGGCAAGGCAGCCAGACCAGAGAGAAGGGAGAAGGGAGAAGAGGGTCTCCACGTGTGCGCGGTCCCTTAAGAACTCTTCCTGAGTCACCTTAGACTTCCCCCTCACCACGCCCTTACAGGCGGGCGGGCGTGTCCCAGCACACCTGTCCAGGCTACTAGGAGGCGGGGCTACAGTGTCTCCCTACACATGCCCACAGAGCCATGGGCTGGTAAGAATCAGGGATAGGCTTGGCCACTGCTTCCCCAGGTGGCAATGAGAGTCAGATTCTAACAGTGTTGGCCGTGGGTACAAAAGTTTATACCTGGCCTGGCATCATCTACTTGGTGGTATGGAAGAATCCCAAATTTGACTGCTATTTTATATGACTTCCATATTTGGGAAATGGGTGGGTATAGCCTTCTTAGATATTACAGACTCAGGGGCCTTCATCTTCTACCTGCATTTGGGGTTGGATACATATTTGAGAGTTCCAGTGCTTTCTATGCTTACAATGATAGTAATACCCGCTGTTGATACTTGAAGAACTTACATGACTGGGGAGCTGGCATATCTCAGAAAGTGACTTCACTCATGCCCCCTATGTCCTAGGAATAGGCTTTCCCTGTCCATGCCTGCTAGGCCCCACATCAACTCTGAGCACTTATGGATAACAAGATTCCAAAGACCAGGCCACCTTTCCCACTATTACTTTAAAGGAACCGTGGCACTTCCCATGCACTGGGCACAAAGAATGAATGAGTCGAAGGAGGCCACTCTCAGTGCAGATTTACTGAGAACCCTCAGCCTTGGCCTCAGCCAACCAGGTTTCTCTGCATCTAGATGCTGTCCTGAGTGCCTCCCACAGGGCTGGAAGCAACTAACCAACTGGCCATAATCAATGCAGAACCAGAGTATTTAAAGCATAGGCTAAGGACATCTACTCCAAAGTGTTCTACCCTTGCCCATGCATGGCCTTTGGACTGCTGCTGCTCAAGGCCCATGTACCAAGAGAGAAGGCTGTTGTGTCCAGGAGACTCAAGCCCCTCCCTCCTCTTGCCCTCTTTCCAAGATAAATCAGACAATCTGACAGGCAAATAGGTTTCTCTCCTGCACAAAAGATACCAGTGTCTGTAATGTTATTAGACACTCGGGGTATAAGTACTGCCCAATGAGCGCCAGAAAAACACCGGGCTGGCCTTGAAGCCCCAGACAACCTGAGCGTTGCATTGGTCATGACCTTGTTTGAAGAGAAGAGTAAGTGATTTGCAAAATAGGCCTGAACTAGCTCAGGCGTGGTCCAAGATGCTGCTGCCTTGACTCCCTGACCCAGGCAGCTTGGGACCATGCTCTACATCTGCTGAAATCATCAACAATCTCAGTGATTGCTTAACCAAGGGTAGAGACTGTATTGATCTAAGCTAATGGCTTGTAGGCAGGCAGAAAATGAAATTTATAATTGATATTGAATCACATTGACGCACCAACTGTAGGCTTTTGGTGAATGGGTGGATGGGAATGAAGCAATCAGCACTGATGATTCCTGGGCTGGCAGTTCCCAGACAAGGTTCAGAAGGGTTCAGAAGAGGGGAAGGAAGCTTCAAGACGCTCGGCCTGCAGAGCGGAGGGTCAGCGCAAAGCACACCGCTGCTCTCTGTGTGCATGCGGGCTGTTTGTTCCTTCCACGATTGCCAATCTAGAAAGTGACTAGGATTAGCATTTTCCTTCTTTTTATGAATGGGAGTCTGGGGCTCCTCTGTTGAGCTACCAAGCTAGAAAACTGTAGTTCCACGTTTTTAGGCTCCTATTTGTTGACTCTCCAATTACACAGGCATTATCACCAACCTCACTGGCCCTTAACTTCTGCATAGTGTAGATAGAGGTTGTGGGTAGAAGCCCAACTGAGGATCCTGATGGGCACTCAGGAATGGTTTCTCCAAGATCAAAGTTAAGAGCCTAGGAGCCAACCAGATGCACTGGGTTATGGACCTTCTTCTTACCCCTCCCCCCCATGTCTACTTATTCTGCCTCTGGACAATTCCCTTCACTCCTTGGCCCTCCCTGTATACAACTTCCTTGCTTCATCCACTCATTCTACCTCAGCCTCAGTTATGGCCTTCCTGCCTCCTCCAGCTGCCTTGTCCTCCTAACCTGACCTTGACTTTGCCTGCTTCATGCTCCTTTTCCTCTGTGGATGCCAAGAGAACAGCAGTGTTTGTTCCCTGTCCAGCTCTGCCCACCAGTCACCTTCCTCCAGAGTCTCCCAGTGCTGAACACAGAGAAGGCCCCTAAATTCAAATACTGGATAAGTGAAAATGATGACTGTATGCAGTTGAACCTTGGGGTGTGCCTGCATGGAAGTAAAGAAGAAGAAGTCCAAGTGTCCTCTGGCCTCTGTACCACATAGCCTAACAACAAAAAAAAAAAGGCAGGCCAGCTGAGCCAATGAGGCTAACTTTTAAGAATGTAATCTCTTATATTGACTCTTTAAATCTTTAAAACACTCTTTATGAAAAGTTGCCAGAATTTCCCAGGCAACCTCATTACTATTTTAAAAGTTAAGATTCCCATTGATGGAGTTAGAGAATAGGTTTGCACGTTGTTACCTTGAAGTTCTCCAGGCAGGAAGGAACGTCCCTTTATGAGGGCCCAGCTAGGTGTCTAGGCCTTGGGAAGATGAAGGACCCATGGAAGAACAGATGTCCAAACAGAGCCCAGACAGAAAACTAACAGTCAAAAAAAAAAAAGTAGAGGCACTCAGAGCCACTGTGCGATAAATCATCTACTACAGCTCACTCCTGGGACAGCACAGGACCCCAGCAGAGCCCCTCAACCTTGGCTACAAATCGCATTAAGTTTATAAAACATCCCATTGGCCCCTCCCCCATGCCCTTCCATTACCTCACCCCTCTACCCCCCAATCAATCTTTCGCCCTCAATACTTACCCTTTAAATCAATTCAGCTGAGATTCATCTTGCTGTTTCCCCAGCCCACTTTAAAATCTCATCGACTTCCATAAATCACTTGTGTTTCTGCTCTCCTCCTGCTGCTGCTCCGTACTCTGGTGCTGAACTCACACAGTGCTGCACTCACACAGCTGCAGACACACACACACCCTCAGGCTTGCTGCAGGGCGCCCAACCCCAGGGCATGTGGTCCAGAGCAGGGTCAGTGGCTGCTGCACCTGGGCTACCTCGAGGCCTTTACAAAGCTCCTAAAAGTTATTGAATGTGTCCAGTGAGGGTCTCTAAAGCAGACCCAAATAAAGGACTCACACACAGTTTTCATTAAAGATGTTTCCTGGCTGGTAGAGAAGTGAGGAGGGTCGAGGAACGGGACAGATTCTAGAGGAGGAATGGGATCCAAGCCATAAAAGGAGCTCTTTGCCTAAGCCCCAGGGAACTCAGCTTTGACCAGGATTACCTTCTGAGGATGACATAAATTCCCCGGCACTCCTAGTTCTCCCATTAGGGGTAAAGCAGACTCCAGCAGCCAAAGGGCAGTCTGAAACAGTCTGGCCGCCCTGAGAATCCCCCTGGGAGTGGACCGTGTCAAATTTGAAGCCCACTGAAAGAGAGGGAGCATGAAGATCCTAAAAGGGATCCAAGAGAATTTGGGCAGAGCTGCTGCACATCACGATTTGAAAGGCATCTTGGAGCATTCTCAGAAGAATTCCTTAGCATCAGTCACCCTAGGTAAGTGATTGCTGGCCCACACTGAGCCTATCTACAGGCTGAAGGAAACCCAGGCACACCAAGGACTCACCTATGGGGGGATCCGTACAACTGGCAGCCCCTAACTGTGGTCCTTGGAAGGTCGGTAGGCAGGCTAGGCCCAGGCTATGTCCTGTCCTGATATATGAGATGTTAGCCTGTCACCTGCCTAGTGCCTCCCACAGACGGGAGACTAGGTCTTTGCTACTCTTAGTTGTGGTTACAGCCATGTATGGTGCTTGTCACAGGAAAAATTCAAACATCTACCCAGTGAGTGATCTATTCATGGTTGTTTTAGACATTCCAAGGGATCCAGCTGCCTTCCAAGCAGCTTTCACTAATTTACATAAATAGTTTGAATCCATACAGTATCACAGCTCTGTTCCTCCCTTCACACACATAACCTGTTGGGTGGGATATGTCCCTTACAGACCTTGTTCTATACGAAACCTATAGCCACCCAAACCACATTGTGAAATCTTCTGTTTGGGGCTGGCGATTCTCTCCCCTTTTGTGGAGTTTATGTTTCCTGTAATGTTCCAAATCTTGCTTTCCCTGTGTCCCATAACAGCATTGAAACATAAGTGTCCTTCCATATTTACGGGCCCTGTATCCCCAGATACAACTGACTGCAGACTGAGGAAAAATAACTGTATCTGTGTTGAATAGGTACAAACTTTTTCATAGCATTGTTTCCTAAAATGATGTGGTGTAATGACTACTGACATAGCACCTGCATTGTATCAGGTTCTATAAGTTATCTAGGAAAGAGTGTCTAGGGGAATTGTGTAAGTTATAGGCAAATACTGTCATTTTATATGAGGGGGTTGAGCCTCTGAGGGGTTTGAAATACCGGGAGGGGGGGTCCCAGAATCAGTCCCAGGTGTGACAGTTAATGTTACAGTGAAACTGAAAGGGGGCATGAGAGAGGTAAGGAGTTTGCGTGTTATTGCTAACCTCAGAAGAAAGGCATTTATGGGCGGCATGAAGAGTGAGGGAGCCCTAATGTTATCAGGGGAGGGCACTGGACTGAGCACAGCCATATCTGCAAAGGACATTGTGATGGGGCTTGGGCTCTGAGAAAGTCTATAAAGTCATGAGGCTGGGTCCCTGGGACCCTCATGAGCCAGTGATGGTAGGTTCCTGCAGGGTTTCCATTGAACATCTTGTTCTAACTCTTCTCTTTGAAAACTCCCTGGCTGCCCATTGCAAGAGATGATTGCAGAGCGGGGAAGTGTGTGGAGGCAGGAGAGGATGGACAGCACTGATTAATGGGTGATGGTGGTCCAGAGAATGGGGTTCCTACTGACTGAGATGGGGAGGCCATGAGAGAAATGGGTGGCAGGACAGGAAAAGACATTTTTTTAAAATAATTTATTTAACTTTATTTTATGTGCATTGGTGTGAAGGTATCAGATCCCCTGGAACTTAACAGTTTTGAGCTGCCATGTGGTTGCTGGGAATTGAACTCAGGTCCTCTGGAAGAGCAGTCAGTGTTCTTAACCTCTAAGCCATCTCTCCAGCCCCAGGAAAAGACAATTTAATGCCCAGCTTGTGCTACTGGGACTGTCAGGGCAGTATGACACTTGGTCTCAAGTTCAGAACTGAACTGCACATGGATGACTTTTAAATCCATGAGACAGTGTAGACAGAAGTGGTTCTAAGGAGTAGCCCTAGGAACTCAGGCTGAGTCACCTGAACAATCTGGAGACAGCATGTGACACCCAGTGAGGAAAAGGCAGGAGGTGCTGCTGGGACCCTAGTGTAGATATGCTGTCTGAAAGGACAGGACCAACATGACACCTGTCACCACCTGGCTTCACTCCTGGAAGTCACGGGCACCTATGATCACCAACCTTTACCCACCCTGCCCCAGCCCTAGCCACACATTGTCACTCTTCTTTTTCCCATCTCAGACAGACAGGAAGCCATGCCTCCCCTGTCCACCTCTTGGGAAATCTGGGCCAGAGCTAGTGTGACTAGGGCACCCCATGCTCCCTCACCAGACCAAGTGGCAATATGTGGAGTGCCCAGTACAGTCTGTGCCAGGCTACCCTGGCTCAGGGCTGCTGCAACAGTGGTGGGATGGGGTGCAGTGAGTATAGGTATAAGGATGTCTTTATTCAGATGAACACCAGCCACCACCCTCAGGCAGCAGGCTAGGGAGCCCAGAAAGAGAGTGCTCTCCTTAAGAACCTCCCCTGACCACACCGCTCCTAGGAGGTGGGGCTACAGTGTCTCCCTACAAGTGAGACCCAAGTACAGAGGACTGTGGGGACACAGGTGGTTCTGGAACCTCCAAGTGGAGGGTCTGGTCACTTCTGTAAGACCCCTGGCCCCACCCATTGACACCTCTTTGCCTTCTGCCACAATTTGGGATAGCTTCCCACTAGCCCAAGCAAACCACCCACAAGCTCAACCTGAGCTCAGATTCCCACACTGGCCCCTGTGGAATCTCCCTCTCTGATTCCTTCTTCCACCCGACCTTATCCATGTCCTTAGCCGTGAGCATGTAGTTTCTTTCCCTTCTTCCTATCCTTACAAGGAGTATTTCAGAAAGATGTCACCATGTTCTTTTAAAACACATGTGTATATGTGTGTGTGCATACATGTGTATGTATGTGTATGCATGTCTGCATCTGCTGTTGTCACATATATGTCCTAAACCCCTTAGCCCCTCCATCTTCTTCCTGTTCACCCCTCTCCAACTCCCTCACCCAGGGAGGTGCATATTTCTCTCTACAGGGCCATTCTTACTATATCATCCAACAAGAAGCCAGAGGCTTTCAGTGAGCCTCGGGATTCTCCTCACAGTCCCATCTTTGTCCCTGCACGGACTTCCTGGAAAAGGTCATAGAGGCCCATAGTAGTGTATTGAGGAGTTAGTATACTGGCCCCGAAGCCAGCAAATACGGATTCCAGAGCAGAGTGCATTACCTGCCTGTACTGTGACTTCAGGCAACTGTCTCAGCCTCTGCACACCTCAGGTAACACATATGTAAAGTGGAAGTTGTGAGGAGACTTGTGTAAAAAATAAATAATTTGTGTAGAAAATCAAGACCCATGCATAGCATGTAATGGCTAAGCCCATGTGACCTGCGACTGTTGCAACTATTATAGCAGTTATTATTGAGCACCTCCTGTATAATCTATAATCTAGTATGTCACAGCCTTTCTCTAATCCCTTTGTCTATCTCTGTCTGTCTCTGTCTCTGTGTCTGTGCCTCTGTGTGTGTGTGTGTGTGTGTCTGACTCTCTCTCTCTCTCTCTCTCTCTCTCTCTCTCTCTCTCTCTCTCTCTCTCTCTCTCTCTCTCTCTCTCCCTCCCACACACACACACACACACACACACACACACACACACAAGAGATGCATAGTGTTGGATGGCTCCTAGCACATTGTTTCTGGTCCCCGCCTCCTTCCGGCCTATCTCCCTCTGCTCCAGGCAGGTACTGCTTGGGCCCCATCATTCCTTGGACTGAAAAGCATCCTGCCAGTTCCAGGGGCAAAGGTGAATACAACATTCCTGTGCCCCCAGGGAACAGCAACTAGTTGAACAGACAGCAATATCACATGGAAGACTGTTATTCATACGATGTTAAAGGAGAAGTGACAAAGGTGACTTTTGTGAAGAGATCTGGAGGACCACATGGAGGAACCATACCTGGAGTGGAGGATCAGACAGCCCAGGGGAGTAACCATATTGCAGTCATCTCAGAAGCCTGGAAATCGATATTCTAAACCATTTGCCAGAAGTTTAGTTTGAGCAGATGTGGAGATGGGTGCCTCAGCACCCCGGGTGCATGCGTCATGAGACAGCTCAGCAGTTGTTAGCCGAGCAGCTGGTTGTGTTGATAGATATGTGATCATGTTGGATATACTATGACTCATGGTCTAGGGCAGAAATAGGGTTTACTCTGTGAGCCAGGAGACCATAATTGCATTTGGAGAGAGGACAAGACTGTTAGGCCTGAGTCTAGGGACCTCAATGCTGTCATGAAGGGGTTGGTGCTTAGGCATGAGGCCAGGCAAACTAAGAATCTTAGGCTGAGGTGCTTGCCAGCCTCCAACCACTGCTGCAGCCTCTGAAGACCTCCGTTTGCACATCTGCAGACAGTAAAAGCAGAGCATTTCCTTGGTCACTGCACAGGCCTGTATGTTGTTGCCCAGGCAAAGATGATTGTATCTGAGTTGATTTGGGAAAGGGGGCTTCAAGGAAAGGGGGAGCTCAGGAAACAACTGAGTTTAGAAAGTAGCTACCCATCGAGTTGGGGAGGGACAGCACCTCAGTGTGTGACCCTAGCTGTGGAGTCCTGGAGAGGGAGGGAGGAGGCTCTGCAGGTTTGGAAGAATTTCACACTGAGCTTTTCATTCAGGCCAGAAAGACCCAAGACTTTCTGTGGAACATCAGTAGATGGCTTGTCATGCAAGTCTCCCATTCATAAATAAAGGACTCACAATAGGAGAGGAGGAAGCTGGGACAGCCTGGAAACAGTGAGAAGTCATTGTGAGAACTTCTAGGGAGGACAGAGGAAGACTTGAGTACATAAGTTATCACGAAGGCACTTCAGAGTGGAGGGAAAAAATATGGAATGGGTGGGGGTGATAGTGTCTGAGTCACCAATGTGACAAAGGCTGGAACCATGGTTTGGGGGTTTGGTTACAGCAGTGTTTGGAGGGGCCAAAGTCTTCAAATGTAGAGTGTGATGACCATGAGAAGCAGTTGCATAGGCTGTCCCGGGAGAGGCAGTGAGAGCAGACACCTGCTACATGTGCCAAGGTGAGGGTAGCAGAACAGACACCATGTTTGCCATGTTTGTGCTGACCTCCTTAAAGTCAAGAGCCTGTCCTGACCTGAGGTGATTCACATTCTAGTCACCCTTTCCAGCCTGGCCCGCTGACTCTGTGGATATTTTCCTTCCTCTCAGTGGCTCTGCAGTGATGTGCAGCCCAATGCCTTCATAGGAACTCCACTGGGAAATG